CCCCCGGGTCCCGACCAGCCCCGCATCAGCAGCGCCAGCTCTGCGGCGGTGATGGGCCCTGCACCGCGAACGTGCCAGTGTGCCCGCCAAGGACATGCTTCTCGCCGCGGCGAAGATGGCGTGGATACGTGCCAGCCTGCTACTTACAGGGAAAACTTCCGCGGGGCTGGCAGCCTCCGGCAACCCTGCCCTGCTCAAAAACTGGGGGGCAGAAAGGAGGGTCAGGAACATGCCCCCACCCACCCCCATAATGACCCTGCTGGCCTGGCCACGATGCAAAACAGCCACATGCTTGGGGTGAAACGAATTTAGAGGGGACTCAGCAAGGCAGGAGAGGGTGCTAGGTGCTGTACGCTGGGCCAGCCCCTTTCCAGGCTCCGGCACTGCAGCTCCACTTACTGCCAGCTGCTTTGGCACTGCCCAGGTCCCTTCCCCACTCGGCAACTGGTTCATGGGTAACAAGGGCTTGGCTGCCACGAGCTCCCGGGTCCAGGCCCTCGCGATCAGCAGGGTGAGGGTAAGTCTCCCTGGGCAAGCCAGGCGGCTCACAGCCCCTGGAGCAATGCCAGAGACCCTTTGCTGCCTGTTCTGCAGATGCCAATCACCTGGGCTCCACGAGGCCCCTGATGACTGATAGAAAAGTGCTGGCTTGGGGGGAAAAAAAGAAATCTTTCCACTGACTTCACTGCAGGCTTAATGCACTGCCCGGTCTGGGCTGTGAGGAGGGGCCCGGCTGCCCTCCTGCGCGTGTCATGGGCACCATACTGCTACGGGGTTGGAGGATTCTCCTCGGCACAGCCCCAGCCTTCGTTCTCCCTGGCTGTGAGTGTGCAAAGGTGCTTCCCTTCCCATCACGAGCTCCTCACAAGAGGGGCCAGGTCCAGCTACAGCCCTATAAGTACCCCCCAACCCCCACCCTGGCCCTGCCTGGTCCCCGCAGCCCCCAGCTTCCCGATCCCAGGGCTGCATTTGGCAGCAGCAGCAGGACCCGAGGCCCAGGAGAGTTTTCCAGCGAGCAGAGCCGTTAATTACCTCATTGTCAGAGTCCATTACCACTCCCCCCGGAGCCCCCGCGCCAGAGATGAAATGGAGAAACTGCTGGGGGGATCAATCCATGCTAAACGCTTCAGGGACCGCAGGGGTGGTGATGGTGGGAGGGGGTCACCGTGCTGCGCTCTTAACCCTTCAGCGGATGGCACGGGCGAGGGGGCTGGGACCCCGCTTGCTGCCAATCCCGGGAGTTGGAGACTCACAGGCTGGTTGGGACCCCAGACCCCAAGGAGCCCCCCTGCAGTTTGCTTCCCCAGGGCAGTGGGGAGGGGGTGCAGTCACATAGGGGGCTTGTTTCCTCCTGGCTCCATGCCACCCCCTGGATCCCCTCCCCAGCTGTTACGTGTGGTCGTTACACACCCCAGAGGTGGTCGCACCAACCCAAGCCTTGTCAAACCTCACTGGACACAGCCATAGCAGAGCTCATTGCCAGTGTCAAGGGCATGGGGTCACATCCGCTGGCTGTGGTGTCCGATGCAGCCCCAGGACAGCTGTCCATGGCTGCCCCACTTCCGTAGCTCTGGGTCCAGCCCACATAGCATTGAAACCTCAAACACCCAATTCAGGGAGGGAGAGAGACCGATATCACCCCCATCTTCCCCCATTCCCGCCCCCCAGACCCTGGCAGGGCCGCACTGCCTGGCTGTGACCCTGCCACGTCAGGCTCCAGGCATAAGCCGTCAAGCTGATGCGGGCGGGCAGCTCCGCCCGGTGCTGGAGCATATGCGGAGCACGATGAGTTCAAGACCCCGGTTCAAGCCCTTGATGGAGACTGAAGCCCTGCAGACCCCTGCCCGGCTGGCCCAGGTGGGCACTGTGCACTGGCCCTGGTTTCCCAGTGGGCGCAGGGCTGGAGTAATAGCTTCTGGATTGATTTCAGCTGCAGGAGTCAGTGGGAGCCGCCAATGTGGCGTGAGGCACTGGGGACGGCTCTGGTTTCCTGGATGTTTTCTCACTGCAGTAAACAGCCCGGGCGGCTCACGTGTGTCATGCCACTGAATCCCGGAAAGCCCCAGCCTATGCCAGGGGAAGGCAATGGGGCAACACACACGGGGGGAGTGGGGCTGTGCATCTCCAGGGGGGCTGCATGCAGCTGGCTCGGGCATGAATGGGGAAAGGGGGAGCCCAGAGGCATTCATGCCCATCTCAGCTCAGCTGCATCCCACCAGGCCTAGCCCAACCCTGGGCAGGGGGCTGGGACCACTGCTCTCACCCCTCCCCAGCCCCATCTTTGTCTGGGCTCGGGTTTGCAAAGTTGCAGCCCTGCAGCCAGCTCTCCACTCTGCCTTAGTTTCTCCACTCAGGAAACCCCCCAGGGAGGGCAGGATGGCAGGTTCGGGTTCCTGCCTCGAGCCCCAGGTCCAACACACCTTGGACATGCCCTCGGGTTCGGCCACGACAGCCTGCCAGCTCTGCAGTGCCTCTCTCTTATCTCCGGCAGGGGCTAGTGACAAAGCACGGGCTGGGACCCAGGCAGCCGTGGCTAATTACCCAGATGCAATCCATTCAGCTCCATTACGGGCAGACCCGGGGCTCGAACATTAGCGGTAGAGCAGGCCCATGCCGGCAGATGTGATTATGGGGACGCTGCGGGGCAGGCGATAAGGCCTCTGATTCAATGAAGGGCACATGTGTTCCTGCCTTGCCGGTGGCAGAGACAGAAGCGAGGTCCTGACGTGTCCCAGAGCGTGGTCACGGTCACCCGGCTTCGGTGAAGGGCAGGTCTCGGCCGGGAACAGGGCAAGGCAAGGTGGTGGGAGGGGAGGCACCGAACCGGCTGGGCTTGCTTTTTCCTTCCCAAAGTTTTGCAAACTCTTTCAGCATCACTGCATGCCCCAGATAGCCGACTTGGTGCTGGCAGGTCCACAGGCAACCACGAGACCCTCCCCTGGTGCCTTGGCTCTCGGATCCACACCAAGCAAGAACAGGGCAGGAGCCCACCATGGCGCCAGGCCCCCATCCCAGCCTGGCGGCGCCTGAGAAACCCAGCTCCGACCGAGGGACTTGGGCAGAGGTTTTATTTCACAGCAGGTCCCTGTGCAAAGCCACGGGTGCACGTGGCCCCAGCAGGTGTGCTCGTGCAAGGAGGCCCAGTGACAGGGAGGTCCCAGCTGCTGCTAGACCCATGCGGACAGGGTCGAACCAGGCATCGCTGCAGCACAAGCAGAATCGGGCCCATTGCATAAGCCCAGAGTCACCTCCATCACCTCTGCCCAGTGCCAGCTCCTGCCATGGTGAGGTCTCCCCTTGCTGCAGACCAGCCCCCTTGGCCCCCAGGAGACCCCAACTGGAACTTGCAGGTGGGAAGGATGGGAGCCATGGCCCCCGCAAACCCTTCATGGGTGCAATGGATGCTCTATGGCTGGGGTGCAAGACGGTGCAGCCCCCCTGGCTGCCATGAGCCTCTGGTTCTGTACAATCAGGCACCCCCCACCCCGCCCCGAGAAGCCCCTATAGCAATGATCTAGTGCTTACAAGAATAAATAGGTTTAGAAACACACGGGGACTGCGGGACAGCCCCATCCACACCCCCGTCCCATCAACCCTATTGGCCAACCTCTGATCGGGAAAAGCAAGAGTCCGGCCCGCTCCGAAACACAAGCAGCATCTGGTGGCCCCAGATGCAGGGTAAGGTGGGGGTTGAAGTCCAGGCAGCCCCCAGCCAGGGACAGGGAAAGGGTGAGCAGGGCTGGGGCAGGCACCCAGCAGCAGGAAGCCTCCATCCGTCCATCCGTCGCAGGCTCACAGCAATTTTGGCATCCCGTCCCGGGCTGCACCGGGTCTGAGGGAGCAGTGGGAGCTCCCCCCGGCCACAGCCGTGGCCCCTTGGCTGCTAGCCCAGGATGTCCAAGTAGACAGGCGGCGTCTTGACCAGGGCTTGCAGCCGGCGGTGGATCTCCTTCATGCTCTGGCGCTGGGGAGGCTCGCGCTGCCAGCAGCTCTGCATGATGTCGTAGACCTCGGAGGGGCAGGTCCGCGGGCGCTCCAGCTCCCGGCCCTGCGTGATGCACTCGATAGCCTAGTAGTGGCAGGGGGACGAAGCGGGTGAAACCACCGCCCCTCTCCTGCCATCCCCCGGCTCAGCACAGGGAGGTCAGCCCCCCAAGGATCTCAATGCCCCCCGGCAGTGACAGTCCCAACCCAGGTCCCCTGACCCCTGCCTGCTGCTCCCTTTTGGGTGTGGGACCCAGGCGTCCTGGTTTCCATTGGCTGCTAGAGCTGGAGAAAGAACCCAGGTGTCCAAGTGCCCAGGGGCAGCCTGGATGGGCCCCGTGAGGCTGAGCCAGCACCCCCTGGCTCCCTAGGCCACCTTCTTGGCCCCCATAGCAGCAGCCGCCTGGACCCCCAGCCCCCCCTATGCCCCTCGCCAGCCCCACACCTCAGTGTTGGAGAGCTGGTACCAGGGCTGCTTCCCGTAGGTGAAGATCTCCCAGAGCACCACCCCGAAGCTCCAGATATCGCTCTCAGTGGTGAACTTGCGGTAGAGGATGCTTTCGGGGGGCATCCACCGGATGGGCAGCATCGTGCGGCCCCCCACCTGCCGGGGTGAGGACAATGATAAAAGGGAGAGAAGAGGAGAGAGAAAGAAAAGTGAGAGATGGAGGAGAGCCCCTTCTGCCCCTGGCTTGTGCCAGGCAAGCAGAATCGGGCCTGGAGACGCCACATGCACGCCCCACCCCCTCGCTGCTCCCCCCGCTCCACCTGCGCTAAGTGCTCTGCCTCCCCCTTGCCTTGCCAGGCCCCATTAAATATGAATACAGGGCTTGGGTGGGGCTGGAGCTAAAAGGGAAAATTGCAAGCGGCCCCCGGAGCCCCCGGCTGTCACCACACCACTCCCAGCAGGGCCCTCCCAGAGATGGATGGAGATGGATGGCTCCAGCCCCTGCTGCCCCGGACTCCCGCCCCCCACCCCAGGCGAGTGGGCAAGCTGCCATGCCGACCAGCCCAGAAAGGAACAGGATTAGAGGAGGGAAGAAGGACGAGCCTCCCGGGCACCCAGCAAAGGATCTGCCAAGGGGAGAGTTCAAAAGGGAGCTCCAGAGACTGCACTGGCCAGCAGGTTTGGGAAGCTGTTTTCCTGCCTCCCCTAGCTGGCAGCAGTAGTGAGCTGTTATCCTGCCTAGAGATCAGCCACTCCCCTGGATGGCAGCAGTAGTGAGCTGTCATCCTGCCTAGAGACCAGCCCTCCCCTAGCTAGCAGTACTGAGCAGTTATTTTCTATGGGCACAGACACTACAAGGGGACATGGAGGATGCACACACACGCCCGCCGTGCTCACTCGGTAGTAGTCGGTGCTGTAGATATCCCGGGACATGCCGAAGTCCCCAATCTTCACCACCATGCCGTGGCCCACCAGGCAGTTGCGGGTAGCCAGGTCGCGGTGCACGAAGTGCAGGGAAGCCAGGTACACCATGCCCGAGGCGATCTGCGTGGCGATCTGCAGCATGTGGCTCAGTGTCAGCTGCCCAAACGGCTGCCCATTCCCGTTGTCCAGGATCTTGGCATCTGGCCCGTGGGACCTGGGCAGGGCATGGCAGGGCAGGGGTGAGGTCTGGAGAGTGAACTGGCATCCCCAGTGCCCTCTCAGGCCTTTCAGAGCAGGGAAATAGCTCCTGTGTCCAGAGCAGGGGTGGCATAAAGGCTTCATGCCCTGTCCTTCACACTGGGCAGGGTGGCAGGGCCCCGATCCTCTCTGCCCAGCAGTCTGGAGCAGCCCCGAGGCTGATCCAAGTGCCACTGAGATCAAATATCTGTATGGACAGGGGCAGGGGGGCACCAAACATGGCTCCAGGGGGGCACCAAATGCAGCTCAAATCCTCTGAACACACCCGACACCTCCCAGACCTCAACAGCCTCCCTCAGCCATGCGTGAAAGTCCATCCGTGGCTTTCCACAAGGCCACGTGCCTGCTTTGATGCCAAGCGGTGCTGACAGCAGAGGGCGCGGAGCCATTTACGCCAGGTCTCATCACCATCATAATCTTAGCTGCGTCTCCGCGCTCGGCCCGTGGCCGCCCAGCAGCCCCCCGTCTCGCAGCAATGCCTGGGGGGCCCATCGAAGAGTCTCTGCTTATTGCAACTGATGGGCAATCTCCCTCGCTGCCAGCCTCTCAGACAGCTAATCTAATCAATATTGCAAGGAGGGCCGCATTAGCAGGGAGGCTGTCTGAGCCGCGCCAGTAATGGAGCGGTGGGGAGGGCACGCCAGCGGCGGCCAGGGGAAGCAGCAAGAGGAGTGGGTCTCCATGTGGGGTGGGGAGCGTGCAAATGTGTGCACACGTGTGCACGGGGATGAGATTTGGGGAAGGGTTAAAAAAGCCTTGAAGGGGTTGTGTTTGCCCCTCCAGGGTTTCAGGTTGGCCCCAGCAGACTAGCTCATGACCCCCTGCTACAGCCCCAAGGAGCTCTGAGCCAGGCCGGGGCACGGATCAGGCCCAGGTGGGTCAGACCTCGTCCCCGGCCCCCACCTGAGGAAGCGGTTGAGGTCGCCATGCTTCATGTACTCGAAGACCATGATGAGGGGCTCGCCGTCTGTGCACACGCCGTAGAAGCGCACGATGTGCTCGTGCTGCAGCACCGTCAGCAGCTCTGCCTCACGCTGGAAGTCCAGCCGGGCGCTCTCCGTGGCTTCCTTCAGCGCCTGGCAGGGGGGAAATTGGAGCAATGCAACCCTGGGGCTGGAGGGGGCAAGAGGGGAGGCCAGGCCGCCTGCCCCCGCTGGGCATGGGGTGCAAAGGGTGAGGGGCGAGGGGGCCACACCGACTGCCTAGGGGACCCTGGGCAAGTCCCTGGGAACAAGCTCATGCTGTCATCTCTGCACGCAGCTGCGAGGTCTGGGGGGGACAGGGGGCACCTGTGCAGCTCCGGGCACAACGAAGCAGAGCTCCCACTGCCATCATAATCAGGAGATCTCTGCAAACCAGGGCTGGGAGGGCTGAGTGCTGACTCTCCCACAGGCCTGGACAGGGCCCAGCGGGGTGTTTGTGTGTGCGCCTGCGTATGTGCATTCACACCTGCCAGGGGAAATCAGTCATGTGTCATAAGCCCTATACCGCCGGCAGCTGGTGGGGATTCCCCAGAGAGAAGCCCTGGTTGCTGGGAGGGAGTCCCCTGCCCTGGAGACTCAAGCTGTGGAGTGGGGAAGAAAGGGCTGGGGGTTACCTTGACAGCCACAAGCATCTTCTCCTGGTCGGGGATGAGGTTGTAGCATTCGGCCAAGAAAACCTTCCCGAAGGCGCCCTCGCCCAGCTCCCACTTCAGCACAATGTCCCGCCGCTTGATGTGGTGGACACCTGCCGGACAGGGGCTGTGAGCCCTGCCCTGCCCCTGGTCTCAGGAGGTAGGGGGGCTTCTGAACAGGGGTGGATCCGGATGCAGGTGTCGCTCTGGGGCCAAGGGGTTCAGTGGGGACCCCAGGGAAGGGGACTGGGCTGGGGCAGAGCCTCCGCACCCACTCCATCCTCAGCCAAACCCCCCTAGACACCTCCCACCCCCAGCTCCTACCAGGACCCCCCGGAAGACCCCAGGGCATCTCCCAGCCCCCCCAAAACACCCCAGGGAGCTCCTAATCCCACCCTGCCCTGTCCCTTACAGGTGTCGCAGAAGTACTGGGGGTTCTCGATGACGCTGGCTTTCACCCCATCCAGTTTGCTCTCCGCTGAGGACAGGGGGCTGCTGCCCAGGTTCATGAAGTGCAGGGACATGGCTACATCGTCCTCCTGTGCCAGCACGGCCGAGCCTGCCGTGGTCGGGGGGGAGAAGAGATGCCAGGATCCCATGCCATGACCCCAAGCAGGCAGGAGCCCATGCCATGAACCCAGGTGGGCAGGGATGCCCTCCCAACCCATGGTCCTGATCCCGGGGGGGGGGGGGGGGGGGGGGCGCGTGCAGCCCCCCAGCTCTAGGAGCTGGTGGTGGTATCAATGCGGGGATGGGGAAGGTGAGTGAAGCACATGAAAGCCCCGAGGGGTCCGGGCCCGAGTGCCGTGATGCACCCACGGAGCAGTGAGCACCCCCCTCCTCTCCCCACTCCCAGTCCAAGCTCCGGCCCCGGGGGGAGCCAGGCTGATCAAACCCATTTAGAGGCTGAATCCGTTCCAGGAGTGAATTAGCAGCTGCCGCCTGCCTTGCTTGTCACATGGCTGCGGGGGGGCGGGGGTGGGATTCTCGGACCCGGGGCCCTGCATTGCCCCCCTTCCCCATTGCTCCAGCTGCAGGCACCAGCTCCAGCCTCCCTTGCTCCCTGCAGGCAGGATCGGGGCCTGGGCAAGCACTGGGAGCAGTCGGGGGTGACGCATCCATGGACATGGCCCCCCTTGGACCTCAGGGCATGCATAGAAGCAACGCCCAGCCACCAGCAGGTTTACTCCCCATGGACACAGGGCCGGCTCCTGCAGGGTGAGGGACTTGCATGGAGCCAGGTGGCAGGTTTGAGGCCCCGTGTCAGGGACTTACGATTGATGCCGAACTTGGAGTGTCGCCCACACTTGTTGAGCACAATGAGCATGACAGATAGGAAGACGCAGGCGAAGACGGCCAGCGCCACGGCCACTGAGACCTGGGGAGGGGACACGGCTCAGCCTGGACCCCGGGCACTGCTAGGACGGAGGCCGAGGCCATGCCAGACCTGGCCCTCCCAGGGAGAGACAGCACAGACCAAAGGCCAGGACTCCTGGGCTCTCTTCCCGGGGGGGTGGTTCAGAGTCAGGGAAGGCCTGATGCTGCCTCTGACCCACTGCAGGGAAACAGGCCAGTCCCATGCCTCAGTTTCCCCACCCAGGGCAGGCTGAGCTGGCAGGAAGCAGCAGATCCTGGTGCTTGCCCTGTCCCAACAAAGACGCCCTCTGTGCTCCCCCACAACCCCCTCACCCCAATGCCATGGTCCTCCGACGTCTCCACCGGCCCCTCCTGGGTGCTGTTCCCATGGCCTGGAGAGAAGCAGGACAGGCAGCATTAGCGCAGGGGGTGCAGCTCTGCCCCCTCCCCCCCCCCCCCCGGTGAGGGTCTGGGGGGCTGGTAATGGGGTACAGACCCCCCATTCCAGCTGTGGGGGCTGCATCTGGAGCAGAGATCCCAGTGACCCCCACCCCGTCCCCCAACTCGATCCAGGGCTGGGCTCGTGCACGTGGCCTGGGGTCCCTCTGCGGGTGCAGGCAGGGTGGAAAGCAGCCCCCCAGTCAAGACTCACCCACGGGAGACAGCGACACTGCAGGCGGTGGTGAGGGGAAAGAAGAAGCTGTGTTACTCACCAGCCCCGGGACCCCACTTGCCCCCCCAATCCACATCAGAGCCCCTCTCACTCCCATCTCACCCCTCTCCAACATGGATCAAATGACTGCGGGGAGAAACCAGACACCTGGGTTCCCTGCTGCCTGGACTCGATGCCCAGGGTGGCATCCTCCCATCACCCCTGCCCCTAATAGGGTCAGAGGAATGCGTGATTCTCCAGCTCCCCGTTCCCCGAGGGCTCCTGATAGCAGAGAGGCAGGAGGGGAAACTGAGTCCCAGAGGTGTCCTGCTACCCTCGGCTCCCTGGGCATGCACCTGGGATGGGCTCTTCGGGGTTGAAGCTGAAGGGGTTGTCCATGAAGCGCCCGTAGATGGTGCGGGCATTGGTGCCCAGAGGGTTGCGTACAAGCAGCGTGTAGTTGCCATTGTTGACGTGTGTGGGGCGGTTGAGGTGCAGGCAGCCATGCAGCACGGTGGAGTTGAGCTCGGCCTCCACGATACGCGTGTGGATGTAGGGCCCTTCAGGCAGCGCCGAGCCGTTGAACAGCCACCGGATGCTGGGCGCCGGGTTCCCGTCCACCGAGAAGGGGATGCACCAGAAGTGCTGCGCGATGGCATCCTGCAGGTCCAGGATCACGGCCGGGACTGCGGGACAGCGGGAGCGTGGGGCAGGGGGCCGGGGACAGCCCCCCACCTGGCCCTCCCGCTGGGAGCAGGGGCTGGAACCGGGGGGCCTGTCCCTAGGGCTCGGAGCTGGGGCTGGCCCTATGCTGCCTTGCACACCCGTGGGTTCACACACACACGCACCCCCACACCTGCAAACACACGCACACGCTCATATATGCACCCCTACATGCATGCTCACATGCACACACACATATGCACACCCATAAACACATATGCACCCACATGCATGCTCACACATCCATGCATGCATGCTCACACCCAGAATGCATACCTATGCATGCCCACACACGTTTGTGCACCTGTAGACACATGTGCATCCACATGCATGTTTGTGCACCTGTAAACATGTATGCATGCACACACAAGTACACACACCTGTGCACTCATACAACCATGAATGCACACCTATACACACCCATGTGCATGTCCACACACCTCTAAACACATACGCATCCACATGCATATTTGTGCACCTGTAAGCACGTGTGCATGTGTGTGGATGCACACAAACCCATGCACGCACATTCACACCCATGAATGTACACCTATGCACACTCACAGCCACATGCATGTCCACACAACTGTAAACACATTGTGTATCCACATGTGTATCCACATGCATGTTTGTGCACCCATGAACACGTATACATCCACACAAACCTGTGCACACATGCTCACACCCATGAATGCACACTCACACCCATGTTCACGCGCCTGTAAACATGTACGCATCCACACGCAAGCACACATGCCCGTGCACACATGCTCACACCCAGGAATGCACACCTATGCACACCCAAACACATGATTACGAACCTGTAAACATGTACACATCCACATGCATGTTCGTGCACCTGTAAACATGTACGCACCCATACGCATACACACACGCTCATACATGCATGTTCCCAGGCACCTGGGTCTACATGGGAATGCAAGGGGCTGCTGTGAAGCTGCTTGGGGCTGCTAAATGACATAACCAAGACACCCCCCCCCATGGGCAGCAGTGGCAGAGCCCTTGGCTAGCCCCACACCCATTGTGCCCCACTCTCCCGCCCCCCTGGCCACCTGCGCAAGGCTCACAGGTGACATTGAGCTGCACGGCCTCCTCAGTGCGGCCCACCCCATTCTCAGCCCAGCAGGTTACATCCTTGCGGTTGAAGGTGGATGAGACATTGTGGATCTGTAGGGAGACCTCCGAGGCTGACACCTGCAGAGACAGGCCCGGTCTGAGACCCCAGCAGTGGGCAGAGCAAAGCAGGGCTGGGCACCCACCCTGCCGGCAGCCTTGCCAGGCCAAACACACTCTGGGCTGGGGGGAGAATCACCCCTCGCTGGGAACAGTGTGGGGGCTAGGACCCTCTGCTGGGCTGCAATTGCACCTGAGCCAATGGGGCAGGATGGAGCAGCTGGGGACAGAGGGGTTTAATGGAGAACAGGAGGGTGGGAGGCACTGGGACTGCCCCAGCAGGCAGCATACGGCTGACCCCCCCCCCAAACCCACAACAACCAAGCAAACCTCCCATGGCCTCCGGCACAAAGAGGAGGCTGCAGGTCATGAGGCCACAAGGTCAGGACATGAAGGCTGAGAGGCCCCCAGGGACAAGGAGGTCGGATCTGGCACTCCCAGGGGTCAGGGGTTGCTTTCCAGCCACCTCCCTCTGGGAAGGGAAGCTGTACAGGGGAGAGAAACCGAGGCCCGCAGGCCCCACTTGCCTGGACGATGACAGGCGGTTCAAGGCCCACGTCAGGCACGATCCAAGCACCGGTGGCTGGCGGGTCACCCAGGATGTGGCACGTCAGGTTTACACTCTCGCCCTGCTGCACCGGCACATCATGGTGCTCGATCCAGATCCGTGGCAGCTCTGCGCAGGGGCAGGGGGGAGAGACAGAGTGCCTCAGGGTGGGCACAGCACCCCTTCCACATGCATACACACACATGCACACAAGAACGCACATGGGCATGTACGTGTTTGTGCATGCACACACATGCACTTGCATAAGCACACACGCATACACATGTACACAGACAGAACACACACACATGCATACATATCTGCATACATGCACTTGCACATGCACTTGCACACAGAGAGAACACACACATACGTGCACACCAATGTACTTGCACATGCACATGCCCACACATACGAACATGCATGCCTGCACACACACAGGCACATGCACACAGGCAGAACACACACACACATGCACTTGCATATGCACATGCAAGCACACATGCACACGCACATGCATTCACACACATGCACGTGCACATGCATACACACTCCAGGTCTCAGGGCAGGGCCCGCGTACCACAGTCTGGAACGTGCAGCTCAGCCAGCAGAACCTCCACGTTGTGCCCCCAGCAGCTCAGCGACTGGTTCCCCAGCCCAGCCTGGCCACTTCGCTGCCACAGCTGCAGCCACAGGAGGTCACAGGAGCACTGGAAGGGGTTCCCCACGAGCACCCTGCACGGGGACGGGGGTCAGGGAGCAGGACCCTGGGGTGGGGGGGCGGGATCCACCCACTCTGCCCATCCCACAATCACCCCAGCCCTGGGATCACCCCTGGTCCCTGCTCCAATGCAGCCAGGGCCCTTCCCGGGCTGGGCCAGGCCCTGGCAGTACCCATGGGTACTCACAGCTCCTGCAGTGGCAGGTGGCGGAAGGTTTTCCAGGACAGCGACGCCAGTGCGTTGGATGAGAGGTTCCTGCCGGGGGCAGAGACAGGCATGTGGAGCAGGAGCAACCCATCCAGGGTGGTCCCAGCCCCCCTCTTACCCAGCCTAAGTGAGGCTGCAACCCCCATTGCCCCAGGAGGGGAAACTGAGGCACAGGGAGATGGAGCCCCAGAGCACCTGCAAGGACCCCAGCCCTGCCCACCATCTGGGGTGTCTCTCACGCCCTGCCCCCATGCAATGAGTGCCCCTGCTATTGCTCCCCTGCACCACCCACACAGCTACAAACACCCCAAAGAAGGGGGCACTTACAGAAGGGCAAAAGGGGAGCAAGATCTGCCCTAGCAAGCTGGGCAGGGGGCATCACCGGCGGCACCCGGGCCTTTCCCCAGCTCAGAGCAGCACTTCCCCCGGAGCTGCCTCCCCCTCCTCGAGCCCCAGCTGCCGGCAGATTGAGTTTTGCAGCCGGCATTGCTCTCCAGCGCAGGGACAGCTGTGCCCGATCAATCCCTCGCCCCACAACACACGGGGAGGGGGAGGCTGGTACCCGCGATGCACAGACGGAGGCAGGACAGGCCCCGTCTTAGTCCCCAGGACTCACAGGTAGCTGAGCTTGGGGGTGGCGTGGAAGGCGTCCTCGGTGATGGAGTGCAGCCCCGAGCCAGTGATGGTACTGCGAGGCAGAGGGACTGCCATGAGCAAGGGGAGGCCACGCCCCCCGACCCCAGCATCATGGAGGGGGCAATTTGGGGAACCCAGGAGGTCACGTGGATGCACCAGAGCAGGGTGCATGGGAGAGACCCGAGCACCTGCTGGAGCAGCCTCGAGGCGGCTCTCAATAGCCCCGGGGGCTGGTCCCCAGGGGTTGCATCTCCCTTTGCCCCCCCAGTCTCTGCAGGCTTCATGGGGGAGGTGTATTGGGACAGGGGATCTGCCCCCAACCCACCCCCTTGCACGCACGCGTGTGACGCACCAGGGATACTCACAGGTTCTTCAGCTCCCGGAAGGCCTTCATGTCGTCCAATGTCAGGCGGCTCAGCGCCCTCTGGTTCTCAATGACCCTGGGAAGCAGCAAGGCCGTGAGCAGGATCGGGCCCCGGGCAGGGTGACAGGAGGCAAGCAGCGCTGGGGGCTGATGGATGGGGCCATAAGGAGGCCTCTTCCCTCATTATCCCGCTCCTTCCAGCTGCTCCAGGCTTGGATGGAGCATCTGTCCCCAGCCACCGATGCCCCTGCTTTCACTGGGGTGGAGGGCCATGGTGCCTCAGTTTCCCCTGAAACCAGCTTGGGGCTGCATTAGGGCACTTTGCCAGCGGGGCTGTGCTGGGCGCTGGTCCGGGGCCACTCCACAGTGATCCATGTCCCATGGCTGGATTCCCCCTTTGCCTGTGGCCCACAAATAGCAATTCCCTTGCTCCCTGGACCCCCCACCCCAAGACGTCCCAGCCTTGAACCCAGCACCATCCCCCCCGCCTGCCCCCGTGTTTGGGCACCAGGCTCTGCTGCACGGGCGGTGAATGACTCTTCCCAATGCAAACAGCATTGGGAAACCGCTCGATAACCTTCTACAAACCACAGAGGAAGGGAGAAGGGTCCCGATCCCCCAGACCCGTGCGAATCCCCTGGGGCTCAGGACCCCGCAGCCCGGGGCGACTTTCCTGGGCTCCATCTCAGGGGCTGGGCCCTGGGTTTTGCCTGGGAGCCTCTGCCCCACCCAGCCTCCATCCCCGTGCCCGAGCAGGGTGGGGCAGCTGCATCACGAGGCTGGAGGGTGAGTCCTGGGTGCGTGGCACTGCGGCCCCTTGGGTGGGATGAGCTGGGGGGTGACAGCTGCCTGGGGTAAGGGGGACATCCCCTGGCATGGATGCATGGGGCTCAGGAGAGGCCATAAATGCAGCACACAAAGCCGCCTGCACGTGGGGCAGGCAGAGGAGCCCATTCTGGAAGTGCCCTGCCCCTCCCAGCCGCTGCGCAACAAAGGCCTGGCAGCGCCCGCCAGGTTCAGCCCCACCCCAGAAAGGGAAACCGAGGCATGGCCCCAGCCAAGGGGAGCTGGCAAGCCGGGGATGGGATTCGAGGGCCCAAAGCCAGTGAAGGAACCCAAGTGTCCAGTCTCCCATAGACCTTGCGCCCCTCCCGGAGCTGGGAGCAGAACCCAGGCGTCCGGGCTGCCAGCCTCCCCCTTACCATGTCTGTCCCCCAGGGCACAAGGGGCTGGTGGTAGCCACATGCCTGGTGGCGCTGGGAGCTGCAGCAGAAAGGGGGGCTGGCTCCCACGGCCAGCTCCCCACCACCAGCCCTGCCCTGCCCTGCCATCCCTGGCTTTGCCCAGGGTGGATGCGGGGGGGAAGGGGGGGGGGGGCAAGGAGCAGGAGCAACCCTGAGCACAACGCCTGGGCACGGGACTGCTCCCATGGCTCCAAGGTGGCCGGGGATGACGGCAGCCCAGCCCCCAGGGCCTGAGCCTAGCTGGGGGTGCCCCTCCGCTGCTGGCACGATGTCTCCTGGGGATGGAGCAGAGCAGGGGGCACAGACCAGGGGAGGCTGGCTGTGACCCCACCCTGGGCACTCCCAAGCCCTCCTGATCTCCTGGGTCTCCGGCTCCCCACCTGGCCTGCCTCCCCCACACCCCCGAGGTACTCACACGTCAGTGAAGTTCTCCGTCCCTGCCAGCTCTGCCAGGCTGCGGAGGCCACTGGGCTCCAGGCACTGGAGCTGGAGGGTCCCGAAGCACCTGCAGCCCCCAGGGCAGGGGCTGGCACAGCCCAAGGGCAGGAGCAGGCAGCACAGCGGAAGCAACCAGGCAGGCAGCATGGTGGGCCCCGGTGCCCAGAGCGGGTCCCCAGTGCCCTGTGCACCTGCTGCCTGGGCAGGCGGTGGCCAGCATGGGTGTGCAGGCATCTGCCCGGCTTAAAGGCAACGGCATGTCCAGCCTTGCAGGGAGGAGCTTGTCAGAGCCCTCCTCCACAGACAGCTGCAGCCAGCCCAGCCCAGCCCAGCCCAGGCAGGAGCTGTCCAACATCTGGGCACCCCTGGGCACAGCCCCTGGGCACCAAGGGGAGATTTGGATTGAAGGGAGCATTGCAGGGAACAGGCCCCATTGCAAGGGAGTGGGGGTGTACAGCAGGGAAAGTGGGTCCAACTCCCCACAGCTGTAGGGGGATGAGAAGAGGGCTGCGGGTTGGGAGTGAGGGGCACCGGCATGGCTGGGGTGAAGGGATTGCAGATGTGGGGGCTGTGGGTCAGGAGTGAGGGGCACCAGCACAGTTGCAGTGGGGGGATTGCAGATGGGGGGACTGTGGGTCAGGAGTGAGGGGCACTGGCACAGCTGGGGTGGGGGGCATCAGCAGAGCAGGAGAGGAGCCCCCACCCCAGCCTGGGACCCATGCATACACATGTGCACACATGATGCAGCTCCCCACAACTTCCCCCAGTGCCACCACAGTACCTTCCTCAGCTTCCCCCAGCCAGGCACCTTGGCGGTCTGAACCCCCTGCCTCCAAACACAACCGTGCTCCTCATGGCCTCATCCAAGCCCAAACCCACAGCACTGCCCTTGCCCTGGGGCCTTGCACCACCTCCGACACACACAAGCCACCTGGCTGCTCCCCAGAGGTGGCTGCATTTCAGCCAAGGGGAGGCCTGGCTGGCTGCATTCTGCACCCCCAGCCCCCTGGGGTCCTGAGCTCTGCTCCTCTGGGACCCTGGCTGAGGCCATCACAGAACCCACAGGCTATGCTCCGGGGTGCTCCGAGGTTACAGGTCAGGACCCCAAGCCAGGGGGCTGCATTTAAATCATGCACTTGGAGGATATGTCCATGCACACGCACAGGAACACGTGTGCACACTTCGCCCCTTCTGCTGCAGGGTGTGTGTCAGCTCCCTGGCGCCGTCCAGTGGGCATGCCGGGTAGTGCCAGCATCACCCACACTCCCAGCTGGGAAATCAGGTCAAGAGACCAGGGCAGGATCAGGTCCCGGTGACCTTTGCCCTCTGCTGAGATGCTGGGGTGCAGATAGCGCCCCCCCCGCAACACACCTCTTGTGCAAGGGTATTGCATGGGGCAGGGGGAGCTAGCCAGTGCCCCCCACCAAATGCAAAACCCTCTGGCCATTAACCCTTTGTATCCCAGCAGCCAACACAACCCAGGGGCTGGGCCTCTGCCCAGTTAGGGGCTGCTGGGGGAATGCTGGTGGGGGTTTACAAAGCTGGGGCGGGGGGTCCTGGAAACACAGGGGAACCTCAGCCCTGCCCTGCTTTGCCTTCCAGCCTGGTGCCCCTCTGGGGTTAATCCTTCCTGCCCGGCACTCATTAATTCCCACCCCCACCATGTCACCCCCTAGCCCCGCTTCTGCTTCTGCCCTCTGGGGCGTGCAGGGGGTCACGGACGTGGGTCCAGGGGTTACTCATTAACCACGTGAGAAGGTCCCAGGCTCCAAAGTGCGTGGTTAATGGGGCTGCTGAGGTGTTTGGTGCCCGGGGCCAGGGCACGACGGGGTGGCAGGTCACACTCGGCTCCAGAGAAACAGGAGCTGCAGCCCTGGGAGCTTCCCTGACATGCCACAAGCAGGGCAGTTCTCTGCCTGAGCTCCCACAAATGGTCCTCAGCAACATCCTGGAAGCAGGGGGAGGTTTGGGACCCCACGCTTGCCTTGGGGCCTGCCCTCGGTCTCTTGGTGAGGGGGAAAGCTGAGGCGCACACGCAGACATGGAGGAGCTGGCTATGCTTGGGGCCTCAACGCCCCATCTTCTTTACTGAACAGCACCAGAAAGACAGAGCCAAGTCAGCGCTGCCCCTGCACGTGGTCTCCAGTGGCCACAGACCCCTCCATGCAGCCCCCAACCCAGCCCTGGCCCCAGGTTTGTGGGGGCATGGCTAATTCCCGGTCCAGAGAGGATGGCTCGGTTCGGCGTGCCACCCCCCTCACCTGCCCTCCATCTCCATGCAACCATATGGGAATGAGCAAGCATGGCTGGTGCAAGCAGGAGCCAGCCCAGCTGCTGCACCCCGTGGCTCCGCTAGCCCCATCCTGGTTGCCACGTGCTGGAGATGCTGCCCCCACCCCAGCCATGCAAAGACCCCAGCCACTGGCCCGTTGCAGGGGTCTGGTGTGTGACCCCCCTGCAACACCCAGCTCTGGAGCAGCCTCCCCTTGCATGGGGTAACAGCCGCCTACTGCTGCTGGGAAACTGCCACTCAAGTCCAGGAGGCCTGAGGCAGGTAGCACAGTGCCCAGCTCCCTGCCCAGGCTCTGGCTGAATGCCCAGGGGTGCAAGGTCTGCACCAGGGGTCGTCCAGCCCCATCCCCACCAGCCTGTGCTGGAGGGAGCTTCCAGCAGCCCCAGCACAGAAAATCCCTTCAGGTTGGTGCAGCGCGGCCCCAGGGTCCCTGCCAGGGAAGCAGCCAGCTCAGTGTGAGGGGAAACCTCCGAGCCCCCACACAGCTGAGAAAGAAACAAGGCAGGAGGGGAGACCCCCTCCCCAGTGTCTGGCCCAGCACGGGCCAAGGCATGGGGGTCCCAGCGTCTCCATCACCCACCTGGGGAGGCCCTGCACACAGTCTGGAGCTGTGATTTGAGCACGTGTGGGGTGACCTGTGTCTGCATGTGCATGCATGTCCATGGGTGCACAGCCAGCTTGGAGCCCCCGCAGTCCAGCTCTTGCGCAGCCTGCCAGGACTGTCCCCGCGGGAGAGGGGGAAGATCAGCTCCTGACCCAGGTGTGCTCCAGGGTGGAAAGCCCTGATCCTGAGCAGCCCTGGGACACCAGAGTCCTCTGGGGGGGATGGGGGCAGCTCCAGGGGCCGGGCAGGGCTCTCAGAGGCAGGATGTCCCGTTCATGTGCGAACAGTCTCCCGGCTGGCCCTGGCCCAGGTTTGGGTCCTTAGGGGAGCAGGGGGTCTCCTCCACCAGCAGTGCATCAGCCTCGGTGTCAGGGGCCTCGCCGGAGCCGCGGCGCTGGTTCTCGGAGCTGTAGAAGAAGGAGAGGCGCCGGAAGGCCGGGCTCATGTCGTCCTGGATGCGGCCCAGCAGCTGTGTGAAGGATGGGCGCTGCCGCGGGTTCTGCTGCCAGCACCAGCGCATCAGCTCATGGCTGGGGAGAGAGGGGGGTCAGCACACCCCAGACCCCTGCCCTCTCCCCAGCCCCAGAGAAGGACCCCATGCAGTTCTGCAAGGATGCAGAGCCAATGCCCACCCTGAGACCCGGGTGCCCACAAAATCGGGCCCAGAGAGGAGGCCGCCAGACCCGGGACACAGATTCTCACAGCTTCTCAGGGCAGTTCTCAGGCCGCTCGAGGACGCCGTTGTCCATGACGAAGTGCAGCACCTGCTCATTGGACATGCCCTGGTAGGGCTGCTCGGCCAGCGTGGCGATCTCCCACAGCACCACGCCGAAGGACCTGGGGACACGGCACGATGTCATGGCCTCTGCTGGCCACATCCCCCTGGCCACACACTGCTCCCCGCCGGGAAGCTTGCCAGACCATCCATCCATCCATCCATCCATCCGGGAGAGGGGAGGCACCTACCAGACATCCGAGTGGGTGTTGAAAAGCCCATCCTTCAGGGCTTCGGGGGACATCCAGCGCACGGGCAGCAGCCCCTTCCCACCCTTGCGGTAATAGTCCGTCTCATAGATGTCCCGGGTCATGCCAAAATCTGGGGGCAGGAAGGCAGGGGGGTCACCAGACCAGAACATGCCCCCCCAGATCTGTACAGCCCCTGCCGGGAGCAAACCTGAAAGCCCCCGTCCCACTGCCCCCACCTCCAATCTTGACGGTGAAGTCCTCGGACACCATGCAGTTGCGTGCGGCGAGGTCGCGGTGCACAAACTTCTTGGCATTCAGGTATGCCATGCCGTCGGCGATCTCCCCCGCCATCTGGATCATGGTCTTCAGTGAGGGTGGCGGCAACCCGGGGTTGTTCTGGGAGACACCGAGGGAGGACAGATGGGCAGGGGGCCTAGTGGGATCAGGGCAGCCTCCCCCCTCCAGTGTCCCCAGGAAGGTTCTAGGGGAAGCAGCTTGTGGAGCGGAGGCCCAGAGGCTGCAAGGTATGCTGGGTGGTAGAGCACCCGCAAGCAGGGTGCCAGGTGCTGTACGGACCCAGAGCATCGTGATCCCCGCCTCACCGAGCAGATGTTCCCCCCAGAATGAGTGGGTAGGTCTGTCTGGGATGACACACCTGCCTTGAGATGGTTGGGAAAACTGATGGAGGGAGGGTTGGGTGGATGGATGGAGGGAGGGTTCGGATGGAGAGTTGGGTGGATGGCTGCAGGGTTGGGTGGATGGATGGACAGAGATTGGGTGGATGAATGTGGATGGAGGGTTGGGTGGGTGGGTGGATGGATGGATGGACAGAGGGTTGGGTGGATGGATGGATGGAGGCAGGGTTGGGTGGATGAAGGGTTGGGTGGATAGACGAATTGAGGAATAGGAGGGGTGGGTGGGCATGCTCCATCCAAGTCAGGTGCCATGGCCTCAGTTGGGGCAGTACATGGTGAGTATCCCCTTCCCAGCCCCTGCCCCCAGGCTCAGTCCAACACCATGCCCTAAATCCACCACCCTGAGCAGCTTCCTCCTGCCCCCATCAGCACCTGTGGCTTGGCCCCATCCCACACTGTTCTCCACCCTCTACCCAGCTGGATACTGGCTGCAGCCTCTCACCTCAGCGTCAGGGCGGAGAGACCGGAGGTAGCTTTTCAGGTCCCCACGGGTCATCAGCTCCATGATGACCAGGGCAGGCTGGCCCTGCGACACCACGCCAAGGAGACGGACCTAGGGAGAGGTCACGTGGCATTAGGACAGGAGCTGTGGCTATGGGGGCTAGCTGGAACATGGATTGTCCAGGCCTCCCCAAGACCCTCCACCGGGTCCCCTGGCCCCCTACCACGTGGTGGCACTTGAAGGCCTTCATGACGGAGGCTTCATTGAGGAACTCGATACGCTCCCGCATGGTGGCCAGCTCATTGACGGTCTTCAGGGCCACCTGGGTCTCCTCGCCCTCCTTCTCCAGGCCACGGGCAATGCCCTCATACACCATACCGAAGGAGCCCTGCCCCAGCTCCCGGATCACCGTGATCTTGTCCCGTGACACTTCCCACTCGTCCGGGACATACACTGAGGTGCAGATGGGGGATAAAAGCCTACTGTTGCTGCTGGCCTGGGGAGCTGTGTACTCCGGGTGCCGAGCCACCATCGCGTCCGTCCCCCTGCCCTGCCCCAAGACCCCTTTCTGGGTCTGGTATGCTGCAAGGGGTGAGTTGCAACTCAACCCGGCCCTTCCCAGCTGCGTGCCTGTTTCCGCCTGCCCCAAGTGGTTTCTGGGAGCCGTACATACTGTTGGAGGTGCTGAAGTACTCAGGGTTGACCGAGGCATACAGTGTGCCGCTGGGGTACCCATCGCTGTTCCTGCCAAGGGGAGAGGGCAGGGGTGAGGGTCTCAGCTCCCACCCTGCTCCCTGCCGAACCCCCCAGTAGGACCTAACACCATCTGACCCTGCTACAAACAGGTGCCCAAGGGGGGCAGAATCAGGCCCAAGCATCACCCCCAGGCAGGATCGGGCCCTCTGAGCCCTCCAGAGAGCCCAGGCCAGGGAAGGCTGGTGGGTCTCAACTCCATGCAGCCTGGCCCCAATCCTCACTGGCCTGATCTGGACATGACCTCGGTGCAACTCGGGACCCCTGCACATTACCTCTTCTTGTTGTAGAAGAAGACAAAGACAGCCAGGCAGGTGATGAGCACCATGAGCAGGATGGGCATGACGGTCAGCAGCACGTAGATGCCTCCAGACTCTTCCTCCACTGTCAGGGCAGGGGGTAGAAATAAACCCAGCCTTTACAGACGCGTGGGAAGCCAAAAACAACCCTGCCCTGGCCAGTCCTGCAGCACCATGAGCACCCCTCAGCCGGACCCACACCCCACTCACCTGGGCCCAGGATGTAAAATTTGACCAGGCCAGTCCAGGAGCCATTTCCAGCCAGTGAGGTGGCCCGGACCTTGGCTGAGTAGTTCCCTGGCTGAAGCAGGGCAAGGTGGACACCGCCGTATTTTGCATAACGGTGGCGGGAGACGCACACCACTGTGGATACGTTCTGGGGCAGAGCAGAGACAGGTTAAAGAGGGGCATGGGGGCGCGGGGCCTGCTTCCAATGCAGCATGCCAAGTGCTGTACAAACCCCGAGGGAGAGGCAGCCTCTGCCCCAAAGACCCTCAGGTCGGGAGGCGAAGGGTGTGGGGCGTACGGCCAGTGGGTGCAGAACCCAGGCATCCGGGACAGGGGCACGAGCAGGGGCCAGGGGGAAGGAGTGGGACGCACCTCGGTCTCCCGGCTGTACTTGATCTCATACTTGAGGATGAGCCCATTGGGGTTGTGCGGCTGCTCCCAGCGCAGCAGGACGCTGTTCTTGCTGGCTGGCTCCCAGGTGACATTCCCAGGGATGTTGTCTGCTTCCACTGGAGGGGGAGAAGAGAGGGATCAGAGCCGTGGGGGCAGGTCTGACAGCCCCAGTGCTGCCCAGAGCCTCTCCTGTGGGGCCAGGAAGGTGGCATGGGCCTGGGGGACTCTTCTTGGACCCTCATGGGGCCCTACAGCCCCATCCATCCCTGCCCTGACCCACGGACCCCTACAAATCTGGGGGTCCCACACCCGAGCACTGCCTGGGTGGGGGGGATCCCTCCAAGCTGCCGTGAAGCTGAGCCCAAGAAACTCATTGCATGGATGGAAACCAGAATTCGAACTCCGGTCTCCAGGGGCAGAGTGGATTTGCTGCACTGTGCCACCGTCCCCTCTCCTCGCTGCAGGCCGTACGCTTGGGCATGGTCCTGGCGAAGACGAAGGTGGCGGCGCTGCAGCCCACGGTGTGGGCAGCGTGGTTGCAGGCATGGATGTCAATGCGGTACTCGGTGAAGTGGCGCAGCTGAGACAGCACCGTCCGGTCCCGCAGCACCTTGTCCTCGAAGATCTGGAAGTCAGGCTCGGCCTTGGGGCTCACGCCCCCGCGTTGCGGGGCTGACAGATTCCCCCGGGGCTCCGAGGAGAGTGCATCGGGCAGTGCGTGGCCAGGGCTGGTCACGGCCAAGATGTCCCGACGCCTCTTGGGGGTCCTATGGGGGACAGCGGTGAAAGCCGGGAGGGCTGGGGGACTCCTAAGTCCCTCCCAGACCTCAGGGGTTCATTAATAGTCAGGTCAAGGCAGGACTCCTGGGTCCCGGAGGAGCAAGGGGGTCACGCGGCTAGAGCAAGCCAGGACGCCTGGGTTCTCTTCCTGGGGTTTTCCTCTGCCACGCAGGGTCTCTACTCACCTCTGCGGGTTCTTGTTCACCGATGTCACCTTCCAGGGGGGTCTGGAAAGACAGAGCCAGGAGACTGCCCAGAGGGTCCTGGCACCCCAGGCACCCTCATGGGATGGACAAAGTATGGTCACAGGCACCCCATCCCAAAGGGAACCCAGGAGTCCTGGCTTCTCAGCTAGACACCCCACTGCCCTCCTCACCCCGCTCTGCCCGGCCCAGAGCAGCCTGCGGCATCCCCCAGACCCGCGCGCCCGGAGGCAAGGACCCCCAAGACCCCCGGCACCTGGGGATGATGATCGAGTTGTGCAGGAAGTTCTCAAACTTCTTTTGGAAGGAGACGGCCTCGCCGCCCATGTGCAGCTGCCCGTCGGCCGGGTGGCAGGGACAGCACCGCTCCTCGGCCGCCTCCTCGCCCTCGGGGCCCTCGCTGCCCTCCACGTCAAAGCGAGTGTCCGCACTGCTGGTTGGCAGCTTCAGGCCTGGGCCGGGGCGCAGAGTCGGTGGGGTGAGCAGGAGGCACCTCCTCTGTGCCCACCTGCCACCCCCCCACAGCGCCTGGGATGGACCCAGGAGACCAAGCAGGTAAGCCCCACCTGGCCCCCTAGCACTCCTAGTAAGCCCCGCCCCTTGGGACTCCACCTGGCTAAGCCCCACCCCCAGCATCTCTTGTAAGCCCCGCCCCTTGAAACTCCACTTTCATAAGCCCTGCCCCTGTCATCCCTTGGAAGCCCCGCCCATGGGAATTCCACCTTCATAAGCCCCGCCCTTGGCATCCCTTGTAAGCCCCACCCCTCCACCTAGGTAAGCCCCGCCCCTTGGGGCTCGGCCTGGATAAGCCCTGCCCCCTGGCACCCCTGCCAGGTAGGGAAGACCCGGGCACATAGCCCATGGCAGGGAGGCGGCCCCTGGCGCCCACCCGCGCTGACCTTTGTGGCAGTAGTCGTTGACGTAGAGGTCGGCATCCTCCGCCAACTGCTGCCACAGCACCAGGTAGTAGGTGATGTTCCCGTTGCGCTGCGTGGGCGGCTTCCAGCGCACGATGATGTGGGACGAGGAGTTGGACATGGAGATGACATCCCTCGGCACCGTCGGGGCTGTGGGACACCACGGCGTGACCCCCACGCATCCCATCTGCATCCCCATCTGCCCCTGTTCTTCCCTGGGGGCCTGATCCTGCCTGGGACTGGGTCATCCACAGCACCCCTGCGCCCTCCACCCCAGCAGAGGTGCAGAAGCTCCCAGGATGGGGCACTCACCCGGGAGGATTTGCACCCAGGACCCAAACCTCACTTGCCGCGGCTCCATTAGCTGGCGGGAGTGGCTGGTTGCTATCCGCTGGAGCGACCTAACGGGTAGCGGGACGTGCCCTGGCACCCCTACCTGCTGGCAGGGTGCGGATGTAGACCACCTCGCTCTGTGCCCCATAGTTGCGGCCTTCCTCCGCCGTGGTGAGGGGGATGGCACGGACGAAGAGGGCATACTGCGTCCAGGGCTTCAGGCCCAGCAGCGCCACGCCAGGGTCCTGGTCGCTGTGCAGGGGCAGCTCTACATCCACCACATTCCAGCTGTGAGCCCCACAGGCGTCTTGGCCCACGTACTCCGTCACGTTCTGGAAGGGCCTGGACACCCCCACCCCCGCAGCGGGGATCAGCATGTGGAGGGCCACAAACTCCCCTCCTCCTGCCCCCTGACTGGGACTTGGCCCCCTCCCATGACTGCTTGCAGGACAGAGGTGCAGCTGCCTCTGGGATCTGATGGCCCCAGATGCACAGCTGGCTCTGGGGTGCGGCATGGCACCTGCTTCACACCTCTGCATCCCGTATGCACATACATGATGCAGCCCCCTCTGGGGAGGAAACAGCATGCAGCAACCCCACCCCGCCAGCCTAGGCAGGAAGAGGGGAGCCCTGGGGTACCCCAAGGCAGAGCCAAGCCTGCCAGCTGCCTCCTGGCTGGCTCAGGGTGGGTGGGGGGCCCACGAGGAC